GACAAAGGGAAAAAAACTATTGATATACTCAAGAACTTGGATGACTATAAAGGCCATTACCCTGATTGAATGGTTCTATTTATTTAATATTCTTTTTTTTTTTTCAGTACCGGCGATCAAACTCAGGACCTTGTGCTTGCAAGGCAGGCAGCAGAACCATTGAGCTAAATCCCCGGCCCCTTATTTAATATTCTTGAAGTGACAAAATGACAGATATGCAGTGGGGTTGCCAGGGATTAGGAGTGAGAGGAAAAAGGGGTGGATGTGGCTTTAAGCAGCACAGAAGAACCTTGTAATAATGGGATAGTTCTGTATCTTGATTGTGGTGGTAGCTGCATGAATCAACATATGGTGTGGACAAAGAACTACAGGTATGCAAGATGCTACCATTGAAAGAAAATGAATGAAGGGTACTCACATATATTTTTGAAACTTTCTATGACCATCATTATTATTATTATTATTATTATTATTATTATTTTTTGGTACCGGGGATCGAACTCTGGTCCTTGCACTTGTGAGGCAGGCGGTGGAACTACTGAGCTAAATCCCCGGCCCAACTATAAGTATCTTTTAAATTTGAAAAAGGAAACAAACTATTGACACATGCAACAATCTCAAGAGCATTATGTTGGATAAAAAAAGCCAATACTACATGATTTTATTCATAGAACATTCTTGAAATAAATTTTAGAGATGGACAAAAATTAGTGGTTTCTAGGGATTAGGGTTGAGAAGAGGGAAAGGAGGAGCAATAGCACAAGAAAAATCTTCCTGGTGATGAAACACATTCACAAATGAGTGCGTGCAATGCTGGTAACAAGGACTGTGTACGTACTAATGTCAATTTCCTGTTTTGATATTGTACTGTAGCTTTGTAAGGCATTACAGTTGGAAGAAACTGGGTGAAGGTACCTGAGACCTCTCCGTACTGCTTTTACAATTTCCTTTTAATCTATAATCACTTCACATTTTTAAAAAGTAATAATTTTAAAAAGTGAAAAGGGGCTTTTGAACTCCAAAATTCTCCTGGTGGGTTGCAGATTGAGAGAGCTAATAGAGTGCAAATGTACACACACACAAAAGAAGGGATGACTCAGAATAGAGTCCACCATGGGGAAGAGTAAAAATCCCACTAGGATTTTATGTGGAAAACAAGCTGATTTCAAAATGTGAAAGTATTTTATTTATTTATTTAAGATAGAGATAGGGTCTTACTATGTAGTTCAGGCTGGCCTTGAACTCACTATAGAGCCTAGGCTGACTTCAAACTCAAGGTGATCCTCCTGCCTCAGCTGGGATTATAGGCATGTGCCACAGGCATAAAATGTACAAGCATTTTAAAGGCAAATGAAATATAGCAGCCAAAACTATTTTGAAAAAGAATAGAAGCCAAAACTGTGGCACATTCCTGGAATCCCAGCATCTGGGAGGCTGAGGCAGGAGGATCATAAGTTCAAGACCAGGCTAGGCAAATTAGTGAGGCTCAAAATTAAAAAATAAAAATAGAAATAAATAAAAAGGGCTAAGGATATAGCTTGGAGCAGAGAGCCCCTGGGATCAATTCCCCGTAGTGGGAGGAGAAAAGGTGGAGAACTCTATCTGATTTCAAGTGTTATTAGAAATTTAATCAAGATAGACTATGAGATTTACTATGAAAGAAACAGAGTATGGTATTAGCAAAAGGATAGGGATAGACCAATGGAACAGAACAGAGAATCTATAAGTAAGAACAGGTTTTTATTTTCTAGTACAGTACTGGGGATTAAACGCAGGGCCTCACATACAGCCTCACACATGCTACATAAGCAAGGACTATACCACTGATCTACATCCCCAACCCTTTTTTTTTTCTAATCCCCACTCTGGAGACAGACTTGCTATATAGTCTAGGCCAGTGATGGTGAATCTTTTGGAGACCAAGTGCCCAAACTACAACCCAAACCCACTTATTTATTGCAAAGTACCAACACTGCAATTAAACCTGAATACTAAGGTTTTAGTTTAGGAAAACACTCATACATGAACATCTTTTGTCTTAAAAGAAAAGCAAATACAGTAACACACGTGCCATAGGTTGGCCACTATTGGTCTAGGTTGACTGTGTAGCCCAGGCTGGTCTCCAGCCCATGATCCTCCACCTCAGCCTCCTGTAGTGGGCATTAGAGGCCTGCACCATCACATCTGTCACCAATTGGCTTTTGAGAAAAGTACAAAGCCATTCAATGGAGAGAAGATGGCCTTTTCAATAACTTGTTATCTACATGCAAAAGAAAAACCTTAATCCCTGCCTTATGCTATTCACAAAAATTAAGTCAAATGAGTCTCACAGCCTGGTGTGGGGGCCCATTCCTGCAAGCCCAATTCTTGTGCTCGTAAGGCAGGAGGACCACAAATTCAAGGCCAGCCCTGGGAATTTTATTTTGTTTTGTTTTTGAGACAAGGTCTCACTATGTAGTTCAAGCTGGCCTTAAACTCACTATGGAGCCCAGGCCGACCTCAAACTCAAGGTGATCCTCCTGCCTCAGCCTCCCAAGTGCTGGGATTTCAGGCATGTGCCACCATGCCCAGTGAGCCTAGGAAATTTAGACATGTATTTTCAAAATAAAAATTTAAAAGGGCTGGGGGTGTAGCTTAGTGCTCCTTGGATTCAATTTCCAGTACTATTTAAAAGAATTAGTCTTATAGCCAGCTAAAAAACCTAAAGCCACAAAATGTCTCAGAGTAAGTCTTAGTGATTTGCTGCTAGACAAATATTTCTTAGATTTGATACCAAAACCATAGTTCATTAAAAAAAGATTCCATCAAAATTAATAATTTTTTCCTTAAGCAATAGTTAATAAAATGAAAAGATAAACCATAGACCAGTAGAAAATAGTTGCAAGTCACATGTCTGATAAAGGGATCTAGAAAAGAACTCTCAATAGGTATTTAATACTATGAAAAACCTAATTTTAAAAAGGTCAAAGAACAGACACTTCATCAGAAAAGACAGATTTCAAACGAGCACATAAAAATATGTTCAACAGTGTTAGTCATTAGGGAAATACAGATGAACATTGCTATGAGATATAACCACATATGTCTAGAGGGGCCAAGAAGAGGACCCCAAACATCTACGAGTACCAGCTGTTGCCAAGGATGTAGAGCAAGTAGACCTCCTGTCCACTGTTGGTGGGAATGTAAAATAGGAAAGTCCTTTGGCAGCATCTTATGAAGTTAAATATAAAATTACCATACAGCCCAGTAATCCCATTTCTAGGTAGGTACCCAAGTGAAATAAAAGCCCATATTTCCACAAAACCTCAGCACAGATGTATTTAGTAACTTTTATTCATAATTACCCAAACCCAGAAACTAGTCCATATGTCTTTTAATGATAAACATTTATTAAATGAAATACTACTCAATAATGTTTGTTTATTTTGGGCTTTTGGTTTGTTTATTTGTTTTGAGACAGGGTCTTGCTATGTAATTCAGGCTGGCCTCGAATTCTTGGCAATCCTCCTGCCTTAGCCTCCCAAGTGCTAGGATCATAGGCGTGTGCCACCACGCCTGGCTACTCAACAATGAAAAGAGACAAATCATTGACACTCAACATTTGAATCTTGAATGAGAGAAATTCTGATTCAAAAGGCTCCATACCACATGATTCTATCTGAATGATTTTCTGTAAAAGACAAAAGCTATAGGGATTGAAAATACATCCATTGTTGCCAGGACTGGCAGTGGGAGGAGAGGTTAACTAGATAAGGGTAGCTTGAGAGAACTTAGGGGAGTTAAGAAACCATTCCATCTACTGATTGTTGTGGTTATATAATAGTATATACACTTGTCAAAACGTAGAACTGGGCTGAGGATTTAGCTCAGTGGTTTTGCTGCTTGCCTGGCAAGCGCAAGGTCCCAAGTTCAATCCCCAGTACCAAACCAAAACCAAAACCAAAACAAACCAAAAAACCATATAGAACTATATGCTAAAAAGGGTGGAATTTAGTGTATGTAACAATACCTTAACATAAGAAAACTAAAGCACAAACTGAAAGAGGAAACAAAAGAATAGAACCTTGCATCCATTGGGATGGCTCCTCTTTAAAAAAATAGCAAATGTTGGGGAGGGTGTGGATAAACCGGAGCCCCTGTGCACTGTTTGTGAGAAGATAAAATGGCACAGCTGGTGTGGAAAACCATGTGGCAATTCCTCATATAATTAGAAATAGAACTTGCAAGCTGGGTGTGTAGCTCAGAGACAGAGTGTATCCTTAGCACATTTGGGGCTCTGGGTTTAGTCCCCAGCAAAACATACCCCCCCCCCCGAATTACTGTATGATCCAGCAATTCTACTTCGGATACCCAAAAGAATTGAAAGCAAGGTCTGGAAGAGGTATTTGTACACTCTTGTTCATAGCAGCATTATTTACAATGGCCAAAAAATAGATGCTAAGTTAAATAAACTGTAATGCTGAGTGAAATAAATCGGACACAGAAAGCTAAATGCCACATGGCTTCTCTTACACAAAAAGTCTAGAGTATAAATAAATAATCTGAAGAGAAAATCGAAGAGAGATGATAAGACACAGGGAGGTAGACTGTAGAGATGGGAAGGGGATTGGGGGAAGGAGCGGAGGGGAAGACGTGGAGGGGAGGGGAAGTAAAAATGATTAAGATGTGATACGTGTGTATACCAGTTCTCCAAAATGAACATAATTATTATGTATCACAAACACATACCAATAAAAACCCTAAAAGATAAATAAATACAACCCGAATGTCCACAACTGAGAAGTGTAATATATACTCACAGTGGAAATTTCTCATGTTTTATCCAATTCTTTCTTCAAGACACCAAGAACCTGGAAAAAATCCTGAAAAGAATCTATGGGACACCCCAGATTGGTACAGAATGATCAAACAAAATGGGCTATGGAAATTACTTCTGTGAGGCATTGCCAATGTTCAAAGTCTAGGGATGAATTATTTAGGTAGATGCAGCTTCAGAAGGTGAGAACCAGGTGAGAAGTATAAATAAAAATACCAACATTCATGCTAGTACCACATCTGTTTATTCATTACAACCATATTTGGCTATGGATAGAAAGAAGAGTGAGGCAAAATTCAAGAGAAGTATATTATATGAAGTAATTGGTGAATGGAATTTATAAGAAAGTGTATATAGCAGTGGTGGGGAACTTGGGGCACGAATGCTGCACCGGGCTATTTGTATAATTGCAAGTTCTAAAAGGCTTGTCATCACTGGTACATAGAATTTTATTACCTGTAGATTTCTATCAGCAAAATGCATAATAAGGGCTGAGGATGTGGCTCAACATTATGAGTGCTTCCCTAGCATGCACAACGCCCTAGGTTCAATCCCCAGTACCACACACACACAAAATTATGAAACACACATTTTGTTTCAGAGAATGAATAAACACAAGCATACACACTGTTTTCTTTCCCTTCTATCAGAACATAAGCTCCCTGAAACTAATAATTTCATCTCATTCCAGCACTTAGGAAAGCACCTGGCATGCAGCAGGTACACGTTGTGGACCTGCATAGAAGAGCAGTTTGGGAATCCCCAGTTTCTGAGGCGACTGTTAGGCCTCAGCTAGGGTTCCAGCTCCACCATCCTCCAGCTTTAGATTATCTAGTGCCTTTGAACCTTGGCTTTCTCATCCTCTTACATCACAGGGAGGCTGTGACAATGTATGTTGCCGCCTGTCACCTACTGTGTTTCTCCACACCCTCCACCCCTGCCCCCCACACAATCCCTGCAGACCCAGCCCTGCTGCTGTCACACATTTCAGTGATGTCACAGCTCCCCCACCTGGGGGCTCCTGCACCACCATGTGACACCCAGCTTGAGTGCTGGCTGGACTGAGAGGAGCAGGGTCAGGTCCAGTTTTGCTCCTTCAGTCTCTGAGGACTCTGAGCCCCAGCATGTGTCCATCAGCAAAGAAGAAGCCCAAGAACAGAGTGGTTTCCAAGGTCAGACTTTGGGGTAGGCCCTGTGCTGAGCCCCTAGAAGGGGCCTTAGCAAAGAATCCAGCCACACCAAGAACAGAGGCTTTCCAGCTTAAAGGGAAAGGGAAAAGCAAAGGGTGAAGGGAGGTCAGGAGGGTTAAAATGCTCCCCCGTCCTGCCCCCAAACCAAGTGACAAAACCCCTAGTCCAAGGCTGGTCAAACCATGCTCAGCCAAATGGAGAGGCATAATAGAGGCATTCGAGGGATTTTCCTCCTGTGCTACCCTTCTCCCTCTCTGTCCCTCTCTATCACTCAGACAGAAGATGAGAAACTGCAGGACAAGATAAAGCAGCCTCTGTACAAAGCAATTGAGCGGAACCGACTTAAAATGGTGAGGTGCCTCATTCTGACTCCAGCCTCGGGGAACATGAGTCTCTATGCAGTGCTGCTTCTGGTTGCCTGACTGAGACACCCAGAGGGGTCCCCAGGCCCAGCCCTGAGCTGAGCTGAGCCACAGGCAGGGGAGTGAGAAGCTATCTCAGGAGCGCTGAAGCTTGTATTTTTCTGGTTTCTCACTCCTGGCAGGTGTTAAGAAATTTGTCACTCTTGAAGCTATTCAGGAGCTCAAACAGCCGCATCCAAGAACTGCATAATCTGGCCAGAAGGTGTTGGAATTCAATGCTCAGATTTCCGAAGATCGTCCATGTCTCCTCTGGGTGAGCTCACCCCACTTGTAACTCTCAAGGTGGACCCAACAGCTGTCATTACTGGGAAGGGACGTTGTGCTAAGGAATTTAGAAACTAGATCTAATTTTCACAAAGGCTCTGTAGATGGGTATTTATTGTACCCATTTTACTGATGGGGACTGAGGCTGAAGAGATGAGTGACTTAGCTCAGTTAAGTGGCAGAGCTACAGTTTGAAGTTGTGCCTATCTGGTATCAGAGCCACACCCACAGGAGTGGTCATAATCATTCAGTTATGGGCTAACTGCAATCTGGGCACTAAGTGCAAGGGATCATCTCTGCCTATTAGCCCAGCCCAGAGATTCACCTGCATACTGGCCTCTGATGTTGGAGGATTAGGATTTCTTCCTGAGGTTCAATTTCCTCAAAAGTCACATTCGAATATTAAGAAAGTTGACAAGCATTAGGTACCCGCCAAGTGCTACTGTACTAAGCACCTTAGAAGTACTGCATTTCATTTATTCCTCACAACAATCCTACTAGGTACGAAAGATTATCCCAGTGTTGCAGATAAAGAAACTCTGGCTCTGGGAGGTTATATTTCTTATCCTAATCCAGATGGTAGGAGGCAGAAGCAGAATCCGAACCCCAGTTTGCCTGATTCCAAAGCCTCACAGTGGCACACACTTGTCATCCTGGCACTCAGGAGGCTGTGGCAGAAGGATTGGAGTTCAAGGCCAGCCCGGGCTGCACATTAAGTTCAAGGCTAGCCTGGACTACATGGTGAGACCTTTCTCAAAATCCAAACAAATAAACAAACAGGCAAGCAAACAAAAAACAAGCAAGAAAGAAAAAAGCTTGTTCTCCACAAGCCATTCTGCTTCTTCACTGCCTCCTGCTGAGCAGAAACATTGTGAGGACTCTGGGCCTGACACAGTGGGCTCCCAGTCGGCACTGGCCATTCCATTATGTTGAGCCCAAGACCTCACTTCTTTCCACAGCCAGGATGTGGTAGGGCGTGCTAGAATGGGGCTTCGCAGGGCCCAATCTGTCACAGGCACACTCAGAGAGGTCCCCTTCCAGCAGATAATACCTTAGCTCTTCCTCTGGGCTCCTCTCTGATTTGGCCTGCAATCAGGAAACAGAACTGGAAGGATCCGGATCATGTATCCTCATACTTTTTCAACTTTTTTTAAGCAATGGACCCTCTCTTCAAATATCTGTCCAGAAGTTCAACTATGTTGTTGCTGTTGGGTGGAGAGTATCTCGCCTTCATCCTTGCCCCTACCCAGGGCAGTGAGCTACCTCCTCAGGACCCTAAGTTTCCTTGGAATATAATTTGAAATCACTGGACCATTTACCCTTTCAACTAAAGACCAGAGATACAGAACCCTACCCTAGTGGCAGATGCATACAATGTATATTCCTAGGTCCTAATGACCACTCATGCCTTTCACCTTCCCAACCTCTCACATCTCTCTGCCCACCCCTTACTATGACACTCCTGCCACCATGCACAAGCCTCGGCAGTAGAGAAGTTTCTTTCCAGGCTCTTTTGCTTTCTTAATGGGCTCCCCAAGCTGGCTCCATAGCAGCTGTTTCAGGATGAGGCTAGAGGATCAGAGCCTTAGCTCTGCTTTGCTGAAAGCTTTTCCTTTCCCTCCCAGGGAAAACAATGTTTGGAATAAAGTAAAACAAAATAATGAAGAGCTCCAAGAAGCTCCGTGTCTTGAGAAGAACCTAGAATCCAAGAAAGTAGAGTCCACAGGGGAACCTAAGGAGGAGCCGGGGATAAGGAACATGGTAAAAGGTTCACCTGCAACAGTGGCAAGGAAAGAAGAGCAGATGGAGGCTGCCATCCCAAGGACATCAAGGGGTCACGGCCTGAACACCGGAGCCCAGAGAAGCCAATTAGCCACGAGGGACCCCCGAGTAGCCCTTCTGAAGACCTACAACTACAGAACTCCCATGGAGGACATGAAGCAGCTGGATGTGAATGGCCAGTACACTTGGTTTGAGGGGCTGCCTACTCGAATCCACCTCCCAGGGCGGCGGGTCATGTGCAGATTCTCCAAGCTACGCTGGATCAGGCGCCGCTGTACCCGCTTCTGCTCTGCATCGCTTGAGGTGCCTATGTACCATTCATACAAGGTGGGTATGGCAGTGCCCCTGCTGGGCCAGGCTGAGATGCAGACCCTAAGCTGGGCTCAGGATCCTGAGTCCTGAGGGCTATGGCTGGCGGCGCTGGGAGGCTGTCTTCCTGTCCAGAGAGGGGGAAGCCATTGGCCCAGCAGCGCCCCAGGACAGTGGCTAAACTGAGGCCACTTCCGGATGCAACTGGGGGCCCCAGGGGAAGGCGGGACACTGGAAGTGAGGGTTCCAAGGCAGGTATCTAATTGCTTGGAGGCCTCAACGGGGTCTGGTCCTCCTAAGGCTCTGAATATCAGAGGTTTAAGTAAGCAGGTTCAGGAATTTTCAATTTGAGAGGGGGAAGTGGCCAAGTTAGGCTTTGCTGCATTCCAACCCTTCTAGACCAAATCAACTGTGCTTTAGTTATGCTTTAAGTAAGATTTACTCTGAATAAAAATTTTACTTAGAAAAAAAAGCAACAAAGATAGGAGACAATCCTCACGGGACAAACAGGTCCCACGAGAGGGGAGCCAGTTTCCCCCAAGCCTCAGACACCTTGCGCCCTGTACGCGCTCGCCAAACGATAGCGCCCTCTGGCGGCGATCTTTGTGCCTAATACTGAGGTCTCCGTACGCAGGTGGTGTGACCCTGGACCGGAGCTTGACGAGCGAGGACAGAGTAGCGATCTCACCGTGAGCTGAACACAAGGGATGGGTGGGGAAATTCTCCAGTCTACAAATAAAACTTCCCATATGGCACTGAAGAATGCTGCTGCAGGGTTGTCTGGGGTTGGTGAGACTGCTTGGTGGGGGTGTCTAAGGGAGTACAGTTCGTGTACTATGACTTCCGGCTCCCCCAGTCTCTAGCTCCAGGCTCCTAAGGTCTAGAGCTAGAACAAAGAAGTCTGCCACCTGCACCCCTCCCGCTCTGGGAGCTGATCTCCTGAGCGGTGTGTTCTTCTGTGAAGTCAAAGAACCTCTCTCTGTGTGCTTCCTCGGTGCAAGCTGCCTCATAATGGCCCTGTGAGGCGAAGTTACTAAGAAGATGTTACTAAGGCGCTGGGCATGGTGGCACACACCTATAAACCCGGCACTAGGGAGGCTGAGACAGGAGGATTGCTGCAAGTTCTAGGCCAGCCTGGGCTACACGGTGAGTTTAAGGCGAGCCTGAACTACACAGCGAGACCCTGTATCAAAAAATCAAAAGGAAGCTATGGTGCCCAGACAACCCTGAATTCCAGCCTGAATTTCTTGCGATTCCATTTCCTGTAGAACGACTGGCCCTAATCTGTCATGTCCAGCAAGAGCTTTCCTTAACTGAGCACTTCTTGTCCATGTAGCCTGCACATTGGCAGGCAACACAGCTCTCAGTGACTTCATCCTGTGACTTCTTCACCCAAGGTACCACCTCTTGCAGGTGAGGCCTCACGAAGTTTCCATTAAATTAACTGAAGTCTACGAGACAGAAGTGGCAACAAAAATGATGACAGTGAAGAATGATGGGCCACATAAAAGTGACAAAAAATTACAGGCACCAAAGTGCAGAAACATTTCTGTATTTCACCCAAGGGCATTACGTACATCCATTACAGCACGTGACTTACTGAACTATGAAGACTCATATCGGACGTAACCACATCCATTCATAATCAAGTGGGCACGTTATTCGTTTGGTGTGTCTGTGCTCTGATTGGTCACTGGGCACTAAGTCTCAAGCTCATCTGCCTACACAGCCGTTTGTTCACCTCTCATTCAAAGGCACCCATTTGGGTATTCACCAAGAATTACAACTGATATTATCATTTAAGTATTAATGCCGATATTACTTATATTTAATTACACATTAGTATTATTTTGTAATTCAATACATCCATCATGTATTGCAATGGATGTACTAAGTCAGTGGTGGCAAACCTACTGTGTTTTTCTTTTAAGACAAAAGATGTTAATGTAAGAGTTGTTTCTTTTAACCCAAAACCTCAGTACTGTACTCAGGTTTAACTGCAGTGTTGGCACTCTGCAATACATAAGTGGGGGTTGCAGTTTGGCACTCGGTCTCTAAAAGGTTCGCCCTCGTGGTATTAAATCCATCCATCTGGCTGATGATCTTAACAAGGGCTTATTTTTGGGGTAGGGCTTACATTACGAGGATCCTGAAAAATCATGCTAGGGTTTATTTTTCAGCTAGGTCTTATTTTAGGAGAAATACAATAGGTTTCCTGGCTGCTCCCCATTCCATTTTCCCAAGAAGGAAAGAAGGCGCAAGGATAGCCAGCCCAAACAGAGGTCACTGGGTAGTGGAGTAGTCCCAGCCTCCAGCCTAGTGCTGCTACTGTCCGCTGTGGGTGTCAGCCGGGCCCCCGAATGTGCCCTATCTGGATCACAGATCAAGGAAGACAGGTCAGGCAGGGAGCTGGCACTGCATCCCTGCACAGCATGTCCACCATCAACCCCAAACTCTGAATGGGGCCACCCTCTATTGGTAGGAGCCTTAAAGCCCAAAACAATGCAATAGGGGAGAGGAGGGGGAGGGGGATCCCAGGTTTCTCTGATCCAAGACTATAATCCTCCATATTCCCCGGAGGAGGTCTCCACAGAGTGGATGCCACTGGGAGAGCAGCAAAGTCTTTGAAAGGGGTAGACCTTCCCCAGAGAAAAGCAGGGCCATGGTGCAGAGATCCGCAGTTTGGTTAAGAGGGCCTCCTCCTTAGCCTACCTGCTCCCCTGCTCCTCCCCAATAATTCTAGTCACCAGCACCATGACAGGGCACTAGTGGGGCTCTGGGGCTGACAAACCAGCCTGGGCATGAGCCTTGGCGAGGCGAAGCCACGGCACTGTGACAGCTTAGCCTCAGTCCTGCTTCTTAGCTCCGCCAGCAAGCAGCGACCCTGCAACTCTGCCCCGGTGACCTCGCTGCCAGCTGTGCCTACTCGGCTTGCACTCTGGTCACTTCCTGAGTAGCTGCCACTTAGTTCCCTTGCTGGGTATTACCAACCTTGGAAAATAGCCGTTGCTCATTCTTCTTTCCCAAGCTCCTTCTGACCCATCAACCTTAGTGTGATCTGCCCTGACTGTATCATCACTAGGTGGTCTTTTCTGGGACCTCTCCCCCAGCACCAGTCTTGGTAAGACCCTACCCAGAGGGCCCCAAGTACCCAGCTGGGATGGGCCTGGGCAAGAATGGCAACTTCCTCTTTGCTCCACAGAGGGCCAAGCTGGGCTTCAATTTCTCAAGGGGGAATTCCACCATGCCACCCAGCGTAAGGGAGGCTTGTGTAGGAAGCTGAGATTGGCCTGGCCACTGGAGGACCAGGGACTGCGTGTCCTGGAGGGAAGTAACTCGTAGCAGAGCACTGCTTCCAGCCATATCCCCAGCCTGCGCTGGCACCTAATGGTATGCGTCTGCCACCTGCCCACCATGGACCCACACCTGGGATCTCTCCACTACCACTCAACCACTTCAATCTGAGACTCCTCTGGGGTCAGTAAGATTTTGATTTGGGGAGGAGGCCATCCCAGAAATGGCTCTCCAACAATTAGTTGGGAGGAAGTGGGATAACTTTAAAATGTTTGGAGCTTATTATTGAGTGAATTTTAACAAGTCAGATGACCGCTCTGAGCCGATTTCATCTGTTTTTAAAATAAGGACACTAAAGTTCATTTCAGAAGGCTTTAAGCAAATCAAGCTTATGTCGATGAAGCCAACTGTGGGGTGTAGAACAAATGTTTGGCCTTCCCCCAAACCTTTTCCCTGGCCCTTTGCAATAATGAAGCCCCAGGGTCAGTACTGACCCTGTTTCTTGCCTATGAGCAGCTACAGAACTGCCGGCTTTTAGGAACTAGCTGCTTGTTAACAAGCCAAGCTTATTTCACCTTTTGCTAACTGGTCCTACTGTCTATAGATTAGGTCCTATGCAAACAACTGGTACGTAAAAATAGGATGAGGACTTTGAGGCAAATAGGCCTAGCTTTTTATCAGCTGTGTGAAGTCAGGGAAAGGTGTTTATTCCCTAATCCTCAATTTCTTTGTTTGCAAAATCGGAGAAATAGTGATGCTTATCTCATTGGGTTAAGGTTTTTTTGGGGGGGCTATTGGGGATCAAACTCTGGGACCTTCCACTTGCGAGGCAGGTGGTGGAACCACTGAGCTAAATCCCCAGCTCGGTTAAATGAAATATACACTAACCACTTTGCAGGGCAAGGCAGACAACACTTGGTGGTGGTACCTACATCACAGGCAAGCCTGCACCCTGTGTAACACTAGAAAACACAGTTTAGGAGAAAGTCATCTCTTCTGTAAAATGAGGAGGCAGACAGTAGCCTCACAACTCTAACAGAATTATGGGTCACTTCCCACGTGCCAGGCACTGTGCTAAGTTCTTTATCTAACATTAAATCCTTACGGTCCAAGGAAGTAAGTACAGTTGGCTTTCCACATCTGTGAGTTCTATATCTTTGATTTCTACATCTATGGATTAGACCAACCATGGACCAAAAATATTTGGGGAAAAAAAAAGCACTTCAGCAGTACCGAACACGTAGATTTTTTTTTTTGTACCAGGGCTCGAACTCAGGACCTTGTGTTTGCAAGGCAGGTGCTGTGTCACTGAGCTAAATCCCCAGCCCTACACTTTTTATTATTACCTAAACAATATAACGATATAGCACCATTTTTTTGCGGGGGGGCGGGGGGTTTGAGACAGGGTCTCCCTATGTAGTTCAGACTGGACTTGAACTTACTATGTAGCTTAGGGTGTCCTGGAACTTACGGTGATCCTCCTGCCACAGCCTCCCCAGTGCTAGTATTACAGGCCTGCACCACCATGCACTATTTGCGTAACATTTACATTACATATTGTAAGTACTCTAGAAGTTCTTTTTGTTGGGTTTTTTGATACAGGGTCTCACTATGTAGTTCTGGCTGGCCTCAAACTCACTGCAATCCTCCTGCCACAGCCTTGAGTGCTGGGATTGCAGGTATTCACCACTACACCCAGCTAAAATTTGGTATCCTTAGGGATCCTAAAAGTAATCTACCATGGATACTGAGGGTTGACTACAATTATCCTCATTTTACAAATGAGGAAACTGAGGTAGGGTGAGCTTAAGTAGTTTACCCAAGGTCTCACAGGTAGTAATAGGGACGCCAGGACTTGATGCTACATTCCACTGCAGGTATCTGAAGTCATCCAGCTTTGGACCCTGTGATCCTCACTGACTTACCCAGGTAGTAGCAGGACAATGTTCTACTTCCTCTACCCTTCCTGCCTCAATGCTATTTTTATCACACTTTATTATTTTCCTACAGAAAACCTCAAGCAACAGTAGCATTTAATCCTCCAGGAATCCTCTTATACCTTGAATCCACCCCTAGGTCCCTCAACCCTGGGTCCTCAGAGATCCTGCCCCTGAGGCTGTGGACCCTGGGCTGCAGGTACCAGGAGGACTCCCACACCTGTGCACCAACTCCTCTCTGGGACTGCCAGAGGAAGCTGATCTTCGAGTCGAGCCCAAGAAACTGGGCTTTCGGAACAGTCTATTTGAGCTGTACAACCCCATAAGCCTAGGATTTGGGGGACCTCGGGCTTCCCACGAATCCTCACCCTCTCCGATGTCTCTTGGCCTCCATTCAGCTCTGGTTTGGACAGGACAGGGCTGCCTAGAGCCAGGGGTTAGAGGTGTCCTCCGAGCCGGCCAGCTTCCTTCTTTCCCATCTTCCTCTTTGGTTGTAAACTATTCTGAACCACAAATTACGTGAAACTCTTCACTTTTCCCCCGAAAGGCCAGAGTTTGGTGGTGGGTAATCAAGGGAGGCTGACTTCAGTTCTCTAAAAAGTCAAGAGCTATGTCAGGTAGACAGGGGGCTGGAAGCAGCTTTCTGATCTAGGCACCATCCTTTACCCTTCAGAAATAAAGACATTTCCCACATTCCTACAATCATCTGGCAATCTCTGACCATATTTTGTGTACTGGCTATCAGTGTTTTTAGAAAGCCAGTACAGCAAATCTCCAACTTAGGAATATCTGAGTTGCGAACTTTCACAGGTGTACGGTATGTAAGACTCACTTTGTTGGACTTATGAACAAATCCTCCTTAATGAATGTTCTCCCAAAACAGAACTTGTTCATAAGTTGGGGACTTACTGTAATGGTTATAAAGCACTATTCATTCTCAGTATTTAAAACAATACCGTGGGATGAGAAGGTATGCGTATAAGGTGACAGACTGTTTAACCACTCAGAACTTACAGATCCCTAATGATTGACCTCTTTAGATTAACCACCTGCCTCACAAGTGCAAGGTTCCCAGTTTGATTCCCGGAACCAAAAAAAAAAAGAATAGCTTATTAATGTCACTGCTTGCACCCAAATCCTGACACTGCCAGCTCCTACCAATTAACTGTGGGTAAATTCCTTAAAGTTCCCTCATCTATAAAATACAGATATTCCAGCGAGGCACAGTGGTACGCTCCTGTAATCCCAGCACTCCTGAGGCTGAGGGAGGAGGATCACAAGTTTGAGCCCAGCCTGGGCAACTTAGTGAGACCCTGTCTCAGAGTAAAAAATAAAAAGCCAGGCATGGTAGTGCATGCCTGGAATTCCGGCACTTGGGAGGCTAGGGCAGGACTGCTGTGAGTTCAAGGCCAGTCTGAATTAATTAGTGAAACCCTGTCTCCAAAATAAATAAATTAATTAAAAAAATAAAAAAGCTGGAGATGTAGCTCAGTGTGAAGGCCCTTGGTTCAATCCCCAGTACCACAAAACAACAAAAAGATGATGGTATATTCCCTATTGCAGATATTTGTTGTAAAAACTGAAGAAGACATACCAGTAAATGCCCTTAGCCCACTTCTAGACACCTGTTAAGCACTCAATGAATGTTATTATTAAAACAACAAATGTCGGGGGCCAGGGATTTAGATCAGTGGTTCTGCCGCCTGCCTTGTAAGCGCAACGACCCGAGTTCGATCCCTGGTCCCCCCCCCCGAAAAAACCAACCCCAAATGTCACCTCCATTGGCCCCTCTCTTCTGGCATTCACCTGTAGAAACTACTCTGTTACTTTAAAAATTGTGAAACTCTTAAGGTCACTAAGCCTGGCTGTTACACTGTTGAAAAGAAAACCAAAAAAATCCTTCATTCCTCTGACTCTGGGCAGTTTCTAAGTTAAATTAACACTCAAGGGATGGAAGACTGGTCACTATAGAAGATACAATGAAAAAAACACATAACCCTTTAAAGCAGGTGTCCAACCAACTGTACCTGGGTTGCATGCAGCCCAAGATCATAAAATTTTAGCATTATTATATGATTTTTGGTAATATTCTTCATTACTCAATCCTGTGGTGCTTAAGCATGGACTGTAGATTGACAACCAAACACTGCAGGGGAGGGCACAGTGCTGTGCTAACTCTGCCTCCTGCGCCTGCCACTGTCTAATATAATTGCGCAAATATCAGATGTCACATTCACTTGTGGGACTTGGACAGTACAACAGTGATTATCAATAAGGGTATTTCAACCTACTTCTGTGAAGACACGTGTTTAATGTTATAAAGCAGCCAGGTTGGTTTTCTTATTAAACACGGACTTGTGTTACCTCATTTTAATGTTATAACAAAAATATGAAAATAAAGGAAGTTTTGTTACTTATATACATTAGTTACATATGGCCCGAGACAACTCTTCACTCATATGACCCAGATAAGCCAAAAGACTAAACACCCATGCCTTAAAGGAAACTCTAAAGAGGTGTTCCAGCCACATCAAGGGAGAATTGCATCAAGATATGAGCGTCCTGAAGTGTTCCGAAATAGTCACAGGCCTGCAGTTTGTGGTGTCTACGGGGAAATCCACTGGCCATCTGGTTTTACCTCCTAGACCCTGCAGCCAGATATACTGTGTCCCAGGAGCAAGAGCTTCTTTCCAGCTTGACCACAGTATTCTGAGTTACCGAGCTGCCTCACTAGCACTTTCCCAGCTACTGCCCAGGTTGTTCACTTTTAGACCTTCATCCTGTCAGCCTCAAATCCCTACTCTGCAGGGCTCAGAGCCAGAATGCTACAGAGACTCCCACGGAAAACCTCAAAACTCATCCACATAACTGTAGCACCGAAAGCTAAAAACTGAGTGCTCTCTTGGGCAAGATCCGGAAAAGCCGAAGAAGAAGAGTGATAGTGTCAATGCAGAAGTGGGTCTAAACCCGTGCACTCCACTGGTACATGTTTGGAGATCACAGGCAAGTGGGAAAAAACTCCCAACGGTCATGAAGTTAACCAGAGGCACAGAGACGGTGGAGCACAGGACTTCCCTGTACTTAGTACCTATTTTAACCAAATGCAGGTGTAATTCTGAGGTTCAGGAAAGGAGATGGCATAATAATTCTTTACAGCTCCCTTGCTGGCTGAGCTGATCTTTCTCAGTCCCAACCATGGCATTACGAAGTAAGTACAGGCAACTGTGGAAAATACTGTATTTATGTATATAGGAAGGACAGCTGCAAGGCCCTCACAGAGGCAATTCTACCCCAAAGAAAAAACTTAACAGCAAATTCGTATCTCTCCCAGCACAGCCCAAGCTGGAAAGTTGAGCTTCTTATCTCTGGACACTCATCAGACCCTCCCTCCAGAGAATTCCAAATAGGTCAGGAAAAAGGAACTCCTTCCGGAACTGAGGTCCAGTGAGAGCCTGTTTCCTAGGAAACAGGCAGTGATTCTGTTTGGACGGAAGTCACTCTGGGGATCTTCTCTGGGTTTTACGGCCTTTGTTGTGAGCTGGCAGCATGACGGGGACCCAGCAGAGGGACTGGATAGAAGTTACTCATGGATTCTCAGGTGCACACATGCAAGTGTGTAACAGGGCACGGGTTGTCTGTCATCCTTGTAATTGATGTCTCCATCTGCCATCCTCTCCCTGACAGCACCCTAGTACTTTGCACCGACATTTCTTTCTGTGACCAAGGATCTGGAAATCAAGTTTTTCTCGAAACAGAATCACTGTAGTTCAGCAAGGCGGCAAAGGTAACAGCTGTGGCAAGGGAGTAAAGCAGATGACTAGAACAGTGGTTTGCTCCCATCAGATATCCTTGATTCTTTTTCTTTCTGAAAAAGTAACGGGCTGGTGATAGGAATGATGGCTCAAGGGTGACATCATTCCGAATGTGTTGGTATTCTCAGAGAGGTCCCTTTCCAGACCAAGGCTTCAGAGACAGAGGCCATGCTTGCAGCTGTGATCCTGACTGCTGCCTGCCTTCTTGACAGGGCCTTGCTATCTCTCCATCAACAGAGACTTCGTATTTCCAGGGTTCCTCTCAGACCGGGGCTGGACCTCATCTGGAAAGTCTGAGCAGCCCAAGGTACTGGGGGTCTCAAGTGCCAGCTGAGTGTCCACAGGGCCCAATTCTAGACACTGGATTTAGGAGCCGAGTTGAGGGGGATCTCCTTGAGTTCCGTCCGCATACACAGGTACTCCCCGATGACAGCCATGAGTGCAATGCACACGGCTTGGACCAGCCACCAGGTCAACGCTGAGGGAAAACGGGAGCTATAGAACCAGCAGCCCAGGAGGTGAAAGAAATGGACAGTAACAGTGAAATCCAGACACTGCTTCCCTCGCCGGATGAAGTACAGCAAGCCCAGGGCACTGTAGGGAAAGGACAGCAGCGAGTTGTCACTGGGTTGTCCTGGCCTTAAGATTAGTTTACTTGGGTGGTAAAGGCAATTAGGATGACAGGAGAGTAGCTAGAAGTGAGTGAGATAAGTATGAAGCAAGGATTACGATGCCTACAGGAACAGGAAGGTAATGTCAACAGTGAATCAGACTGAGCAAAAGAAAACAAAATTACAAGCCTGATTATAAATATCAAGTGTGACTCAAGGGTAAACCAGGTGGGGTACCCTGAAAGCATACAGGTTCTAGCTAAAATGGAGACAAGCTACTAGCTTCTAGGTAAATCTTACCATGTTAGATTAGCCATCAGTCTTCCTATTATTCAAGAAAAGCCAGAAATTTGGACTTTTATAAAATAATATCAATAACTGAAAAAAAACGTTTTAAGCGGGGTCCGGGGATTTAGCTCAGTGGTTCTGGCGCCTGCTTCGCAAGCACAAGGTCCCTAGTTTGATCCCCAGTACCAAAAAACAAAACATAAAAACCCCAAAAATGTCTGAAGAACCCTGAATGAGGCAAAGTGTAGAGGCACATGCCTGGAATCCCAGCACTTGGGAAGCTGAGGCAAGAGGATTGCCACAAGTTCAAGCCCAGTGTGGGCTACATAGTGAGTTTAAGCCAGCCCGAACCAAGACCCTGTCTCATGAAAACCAAAAAAACAAAAACAAAAACAACAAAAAAAACAAAACCATGCATGAACTAACATCTGTATAAGGCAAACAGAACATATCTGGGAGAGATATTTAAGTCAAAATCAGCTCACAAATTTTCAGCCTTCAATTTAAGATCAAGAATACTAAAAATGTTCAAGGCATTGTTCTAAGTAATTTGTATCAATTGATATTTAATCCTTACAACTATGACATAGGTGACCTTAGTAGCCCCACTTTAGTGATGAAGAAACTGGGGCTTAGATATATTAACTTGTCCAAAGTCACTAGACTAATGGTAAAATTGAGATTCCAAGTCAAATGAGTTTACCTCAGCCTGAGATTTTGTTCACTATGCTAAAGTGCTTCTCAGAGAGGGGCAATAGTTATGAGACATTAGACCTTAGACATTGCCTCATCCAACATCTTGTGTATAGATAAGGAACCTGAGGTCCAGAGAGAAAGGAAGTAATTCAGCCAATGACCGAGGGATCAAGAATAGAAGCCAGTTTTCTCAACTTCCAATCTAATCCTTTCCTCACCTCAAGCCACATCAGGGAAGTGATCTGAGATGGAAGCTGTCATGCAGGGAGCACACACATAGCGACAGAAGAGCTTTGCAGGTAAGTCAAAACAGCAATGGAAGGGCCGGGAATTTAGCTCAGTGGTTTCGCCACCTGCTGCGCAAGCGCAAGGACCAGAGTTCGATCCCGGGTACCAAAAAAAAAAACCCAAAACAAAACAGCAATGGAAGTAGTCCCATGATAGAGCCAGTCCCACAATTGGCCTCTCTCACCCACTTTAGTCTACTCCTCAAGAACAGGCACCAGATGTCTCGTCCAAATTTAGAAGTTCTAGACCAGTTCTAAGGCCCCAAAAGCTAGACAGCAAAAACAGTGGTACTTACCAGGTGAGGGCGTTGAGGATGAAGGACATCATGGAGAGCCGGCCTGGAGGGGTGGAAAAGCCCAGGATCTGAGGAGGAATCACAAATGGAAATATGCTGGAGATGTGACTTGGTAGTGTAAGGATTCCAGGCTACAGGGTCCCAGCATGGCTCCTACAGTACAAGCATTCTTCACAGAACACAGAAGACATAGCCCTTCATGTGCATGGCTGCCTAATTCCAACAAGGTTCATTCTTTGTCTGTTCCTCCTTTGTCTGTCTCTCTCTCTTCAACAAGGTACAGTGGACCCTTGACTTATGAACTCCATTGGTTCCCAAGGGCTGGTTGTAACTCAAGTTGGTTGTAAGTCAATATACCTGAGATCTGGGTGTTTACCTGGGAACACGCTATAGATAAAAAGAGGTAGATACATCTTCCATTAACCTAATTAACCCAAGTTGTTCATATGTCAGGCCACTCATAACTTGAGGGTCCACTGTACTTGCATGCACATCTATTGTACTATTTCATTTAATCCTCATGGTAGGTGGAAGGGTAGTATTTTTCTCATTTTCAGAAGGATGACAAGTTAAGTTGCCCAATGATACAGTAAGTAAATAGTAAGAGTAAGGTCTAGAAGGTTGTTCATCAAGCTATGGCCTCACTGACCAGGCACATGCTTTTATAAATAAGTTTTATTGAACATAGCCCACAACTAGTCACTTATTTATTGTGTATGGCTGCTTTTGCACTACAACAGCAGAGCTGAGTAGTTGTGACCTAAAATCTTTACCACCTCCCCCTTTCAGAAAAGGTTTGCTAGGGGCCGGGGATTTAGCTCAGCGGTGCTGCCGCCTGCCTTGCAAGCGCAAGGTCCGGAGTTCGATCCCCAGTACCAAAAGGAAAGAAAAGAAAAGGTTTGCTGAACTCTACCCTAGATCTCAGGTTGTGTACAATAGATGGTTTTTCCCACACAGTCTAGGCTTTCCACATGCCCTTCCTAGGAGGAAGGAAACTCCTATGCTGTTACTACTAAGCACTGGGGCATGTGCAACTTCCACTACCCTTGATAAGATATTACTGACTACCAAATATCTGCACCATACTTCCAATTTACAGAGAAAGGCCTCTTACATCCATAATCTCATACTATCCTTACAAAAATCTAGAAAAGCCTTTACTATTACCACTAATACTTCTTTTTGGATAACAACTTGCCCAGGGGCCACAAAGAAAGAGCAACAGGAACAAGGTCCTGAACATCATCCCAGGTCTCCTGGCTCCACAAACTATGTTCATTACCATTTACCACAGCTGCCTCTCAGATGTAACAACTTCTTAGGCCTGTTATATTTTATATAGTACTTTTTTATTCCAAGGTCCCTCTGAGTCTCGTAACATTTTACTGAGGGTGACAAAGAGAATTCTGTTCACTTTCCAGAAAGGGGAAAGGACTCAGAAAGGTGAAGCAACTTGTTCAAGTTCTCATAATTACAGTAGCATGTTTAAGCCTGGATCGGACCCTAAACACAGGCTCTTTGGCACCACAGTTTGCCACCTCTCTGCTTCCATTGCCATGATTTTGCATACATAAAAACAGATTAAGAGAGGTAACAACACTTGCCCCAGCCACACGGCAAGTAGAATGAACTTATGGAAGCCTGTCTGATCCCAAAGCCCAGACAGTTTCCACTGCAACCCCATTAATGCCCTTTTATCCACACTTATTCCTAGTATGGACTTTGACTATCTGAACTCGAAGAAGTGAAGTCACTTTCCCGGATTCTCAGAAAACAGAAGTACAAGAGTTGCCTGGGATGCAAACTTGTTCATAATAACATGTAGGCCCTTTCCCTTGCACTCATCTGCTTCGGTTACCAGTCTCTTCATTTTATGGATGGGGTCGCTGAGGTTTGGAAGAGTGAAATCCTTTACCAGGGCCATACAGCGAGAACGTAGCGAGAACCAGGGCTCAGCTCATTCTAGAGCCCAGTGGTGCCAGACAACAGCTTAGAGAGTGAAGCGAGACCCCATCCCGCCAGCCCGCTGACCCTACCTCGGCGTCGAACATCTGGTCCAGCGAGGGGCTGCTGCGCACTAGAGCATCCACCAGCGCCAGCCACAAACCCAGCGAGCCGTAATAGACGGTTTGCATGAGGACGATCTGCGACAGGATCAGCAACGGGTCCCACACGTAGCTACGGAACTGGCCCGCCATGGCGGCCCGCGGGACCCGGCCACCGCCCGCGCCTCAACGTCGCCGTGCCATAGGCCTCCGGCCGCCTGGCCACCTGCGGGGACATACGCTGGGCCTCAGCAGGCCGGCTGTCGCCTTGACAACGCCGCCCTGCCCGGGGTGGGGCGGTGGGGGGAGGACTGCGACCGAAAGGCGAGCCCATTCCGGGAGAGCTGGGGGAAGAGGGGCGGAGCAGACAAACCCGTTCCCAGAGTGAGGGGAAATCTCGTCCATTACATCTGCTCGGCCCCCGCCGTACACAACTCCTCTGGGGTTCACTCACCGGTGACTGACTCGAGGATGCAGCGTCCGAGTCCGGCTCGGCTTCACCGGCTGGCTCCCAAAACACGGCAAACAGGCCGAACCATGGAGGAGAGGCCAACCAGCCTAAAGAGGCAAAGCTCTGGTAACCAGAAGGGCCAAAACAGCTGCGTGGGAAGGAAGCCTTTCCCGGGACTGAGGCTGAGGGCAGGGCTGATAAGGCGCAGGCGTAGTGAGTGCAACCTTTGACTACACCACCTACAGGGCACAGGCTGCCGGGAAAAGAATTTGCACATGCGCAGAATGAAGAATGAAGGCGAACGGAAGCGAGGCACAAAATCCGCAGCGCTTGCAGTGCCCTCTAGAGGGAAAATTGGGGGGTGGCGATTAGAAGAGAGGTCGTGCAGGCGGTCTAATTTGACTGGCTGGCGAGGATAATAGGTCCAAGTATTACAGAGATGATAAACGCTATTTTCAACTTAGATTCCCTATGTTTTCTCCTAGTGAAGGTCTTGAAAAGCATTTGCAAACTTTTCTACATATTATTTTGGCACTGTACCAGTTGTTATACAAGTGATGAAACTAAGGGGGTGGCTAATACACTGTATTAATAGAGCCAAGGGCAAAAACCATATGATCATCTCAATAGATGCAGAAAAAGCATTTGACAAAATCCAACAGGCATTTATGATAAAAACCCTACAAAAAATTGGAATAGACGGTCTCTACCTCAATCTGATAAAAGCCAGCTATGAAAAACCAACAGCCAATATCATACTAAATGGTCAAAAACTGAAATCCTTCACACTAAAATCAGG